AGAGGAAAGAAGGGACTGCATGAAAGAGAAGAGTAAGATCAAACAAGCGCAGATGATGGCAGACAATAAAGACGACTATCACAGACAATAATCTGGAAAAAGGCAGACAATGGTCCAATCAGCATTCAGAGCTGAGCTCCTTCTTTATCTAACCAAAATAAAAAACATATTAATTTGGGAGCTTCACTCACAAAAAGAATGGAAAACCAGGCCCAGCTAGTAGTCCACTAGAAGCTTTGATTCTGAGATCAAAATAATTATCACCTTGCAGGTTTTATACCTCTGACAAGCAGGCAGGCTTATATCCATGCCTGTTCACTCACAGTATATGTAGTGAATACCTTGAAAGCAATTTATGGGTAAGGACCAAAGATCAGTGTCACTCAGTTTAACCAAATGTGAAATATGGTCACAATCTCTTATCCATCCCTGAATTATGGTTACATAATGGTCAAATGTTTTGCTTGCAAAATAATAAATAATATGATGTCACAGTGAAGTGGACCTTAGACACAGTTCATGAACTTGTCGTTCCTTTTTTATGTTTTTTATTCTGACATTTTGATGTTAGGTTGTGAGAATACTACAAAACCTCTAAACTTATTACAGAAGAAAGTTATACGAATGATTCATAACGTTAAATATGGAGAACATACAAATAAATTATTTATAAAATTGAAATTATTAAAATTAGGAGATTTAGTGAAACTATTAATTATGTTTAAGGCTAAAAATAATATTTTGCCCTTTAAGTTACAAAGAGTATTTTTATTGTGTTCAGGGGGAGAAGATAGTAGAAGGAAATTTTATTTTAAGCATCAGTTAGCTAGGACTACACAAAGATTAATGAGTCCAACGGTTAGGGGTATACGACTTGATCCCACTCACATAAACAGTCGCCCCCCCGACCATCACACACATCGACACATGTCTTTAATGTATAAACAGTCTATACACACACAAAGGAATGCATGCAGATAAAAGTTATGATAATATATACATATGGACTCAGACACACATATGA